ATAAATTCATTAATTGTCCTTTCCTTATTTAAATTATATCACATTTTCAATATTGCGGAAAAAAACGCTGATTGGCTGATATATTAATATGGCCGGCCACTTGTTCCACCATTCTCATTGGTCAATCATCTTTATGCGCAACAGCACACCTCTATCTTTATTACACCATGGAAACATCCCAATTTACTCACAATTTCTTACCATACTATTTTAAGAACGTGAAGATTTCAGCTTCTTAGAATATTTTATATGAAATATTTTATTGTATTATAAAAAATGACATTTGTATTACGACCGCTATATCTACTCTGTATGAAGCAAAAAATATGTACACCAAAAAGTCACTTGATAAAACTGTCTAATCACAAAATTCATACGTCTAAAGGTTAGTATATCTTACCTTTAAAATAATAGATTATTATATATAATTTAATTACTTTGATAATTCAATTTGATAGAAAAAGACTTTGCAGAAACCTGCATTTATTACAGATTTTGTTAGCAATGCCGACAGAAGTGTCCACGCTCCAAGATCTCGGACGGAGAAAAAAATTACATCGATCAATTAGCCGAATTGTTCAAATGTGATTTGTTAATTTTTTCTCTGTTTGAAATCTTGGAATAATTTTTAATAACGTAAGGTTTAAGAATTTTCGATTGGAATACTGTAGGAAATTGGTGATAAAAATTGAGAGAAGATAGAAGTCTGTTATTTTATAACTATTTCAGTGAAATATTCCATTCAAATGATTATGAAGTGATAAAATTATGAAGAGATAAAGACTATGAAGAGATAAAATTGGTTTCTTGTTAATTTATTAATATCAGTGTTCTACTGGCAAAATGCAAGCTTGAGAGCTATTTCGAATTTGATTAATTTTAATCGACGATAAACTCAACAGTCTAGATAATAAATTATGTTATTTATTATCATTTTTATGTCAAAATTTCACCAGAAATGTTATTCTGATGTCAAAATTACGACAAATACAGTTAGCTTGCTACACAGACAATTGAATCAATTGTCGATTAAAGTTGATCAGAGTTGGTCGAAATGACTTAGCCCTAGAATCATAGGTTACATCAGTTAGGCATGCACTTAAAATTCTCTGTCCTTGATTTTTAAGGATATTTTTATTTTTAAGAAATTTATTTTCTCAAAATATATTTGTTTAATATTAAATTTTATTTTATGTTTATATATGTATCTTGTTCAAATAAATAATAAACCAAAATATATAAAAAAAATAATTTATGAAATGTACTTAATTAAAAATATAATTTAAATTTTATACAAATAAATGTATAAATTCATATATCATTTATCTTTATTAGATTTCTAAATATTTTTATCTTTCTGGGGTTAATATTGATACGATGCAGATGTTGATTTGATAAAATATTTGATCAAATGTACTATAGATTTATTTCGGATAACTATACTTGTGATACTATCATAGATTACTTACCACTGACATTTTTCTTGTTATATTATATATGCAAGCTTGTTGACTAATACATTAAATAAATAAAACATGAATAAATGATTTTTGCAGTTATGTTTCATGGTGAATACGAAATGCAGGATCCTAAAACGGAGGCTGATATGTAGGTAAAATAAATGTATTCTTATTTTATGTTAGATTTATAAAATTGCATAATTTTTTTAAAACTAATTTTATATAATATAAAATTGATAATATATGCATATTGAAATACTGCAAAACATTTTTATTTTTGAAAATAAAAGAGAATCTTTAAAATTGTTCCTATACAAGATTTTACATTACAAGGAATTAAATGATTTTATTTGAAATTTTTTGTTTTTCACAAAAACAATTTTGTGTATGATAAATATGATAATTTTTGCTAACTTTTGTTGAGAGAACTTTATGTTAAATTTTTGTTATTGATTCTATCAAAAAACTAGTTAACCAAATCTGAGAAAAGCATATTTTGTCAAGTGTCTACAACAAATTTCCATATTAATAAGGTAAATTTAATGTAAAATCTGGTAATTAAATCGATGTTTGCAAAACAATAACAAAAAAATGTGAGAAAATTTGTTATTCATAAAATGAGAGCAAATTAATGTCTAATACTACACAGAATTAATTTATTATTATAGTATCTAACAGGAAATGATTCTTATTTATAAGTACTTCAGACGAAGCCAAAACAGCAAATGATATAACTGAATAAAAATATGCACAATATGACAGCAAATGCTCAGCAAGATTTGCTGTTACATAGCTCGGTTATTTGACATGTTTTTTTAAATACCTTTAAATATCTTTAAATGACTCTACATGTACTGCTACACTCTACATTAAATGAATCTACATGTATTGCTTGCCTATGTTTCCATTATTTTTTAAAAGAAATAAAAAGAGGCAAATAGGAATAATTTTTTTGTAATATACATACGAATTTTATTATAATTTAATTATAAAAATCTTTTAAATTAATATACTCTTTAATATATGACAATTACAATATACAATTATAATAATATATATCTAATTTGATTTATTGGATACGTTAGATATTATATTACTGTATATTAAGGGGTTACCCCACTGTAACTTGTGAAAAAGAAGCGTATTTTTACGTTTTTTTTTTCGGTGCAAGGAAGGGTAAGAAGATAATAATATTCAAGGATGTTTTTAAGCATGTATTGAAGTATT